AAGCCGCTCACGTCGAACCGCGGCAAGGAGCGCGAGCGCATCGGCACCCGCCGCCGCGCCTTCCGCCACAAGTAAATGGGCGAAGGAAAGAAGAAGGCCTGAATCGTTTTTTTGTTTTTTTTTGGTATGTTTTTGGTAAGGTGGGGAATTGCGCAGTAAATGAAGGCGTGCTGTCTTTCTGTTGGGTGTTTGTGCCGTTGCGCATCTGTGTCTTTTTTTTTTGTTTTGTGGGGGTCGTTTCTCCTGCTTGGACTTTGTATAGAAGAATAACGCCACTGATAGTGGGCGCAACACGGAAGGTTATGTGCCACCAATTCAGCGCAGAGACTGCCTGAAAATAATGCTCCTTCCGACACAACATTGGCCGTGAGGGTCTACCACAGCGGTGTGGCTGGAGCTTTGCTGCTTCACAGGGGCTGTTCCTGCGCATGCGTGTCTGCGGTGCCATCGCGCCGCTAATTTGTGAGTAAGGTTATGCTCCGAAGTCGCGGTACAGTGTGCTGTGAGTCGCTGTTATGACGAGGATGTCCCTATCGTGATTGGCATAATAGACAGGGAGGAACCAATACAGCATTGTGGCGGTAGTCGGCATTGAGTGCGCTGTCGTGTCGTCAAGCAAAAATATGTGTCGAATTCATTTCTCTGCCTGTGTCTGTTTTGTTGGATTTTTTTTTTTCTGCGGAGAGTTCTCTTGGTGTGCAGCTCTTCCGCAGTGCGTGGCGCAGGTACCATGAGCCCGGTGTTGCTCATCATTCACAGTGGTCCCCATTGCGGCCGTGAAGTTGCCTCTGAGGCAAACCTGCAGGCGCTGAAGTGTGGGGGTGCGGGGCGACAGCAACTCAGATGTCTCTGGGGTGTTGCGTCTGTCTGTCTGTGGGTGTTTTTTCCATCTTTGATTCCATTCTTTGTCCACCCAACTGGGCCTCCGCTTCCCATCCTCCCTCTCTCAATCGTTCTTGCTGACGCAAAAGAAGAGGCTCCATCGCTCACATTGTGTCAAACCGAACAGAGAAGATGCCATCTCATGTGCCTCCCATCCTTATTGTTTTTTTTTTTTCGCTTTTCCCGGTCTCATCTATTGTTGCTGTTGCCGGTGTGTGGGGAACATGCGAAGTGGAGAAAAATCGACATAATTCGCCATGAGTATTGCCGTGGTCCTTCCGACGGTTTTCACGGCGGAAGCAGCGGATGCGGAAGCCACTGTGGTCGGGCAGCTCAACGCGTTGTTCCGCCACTCGGGACTGCATTTCTCAACGGCATCGACACAGCTGCACATAATGCCGGAGACAGTACACATACTCTCATACGATGACGTGGCTATGATATCACGATACGCCCGTGTGCTTGTCACGAACAAAGATGTGCAGTGCGACTTCAACGCCCTGTGCGGTGTGCTGTGGGGTCATACCAAGGATGGGGAAGATGCGCTTGACCGCTATATGCAGCAGACCTCCGATGTGGACGACCGCCAGCGTGAGGTAGCGGTGCGTCGACTTGTACCGCACTTGCTCTTGCAGGCGCAGGTGTTTCACACGCTGCGGTGTATTGAGGAGCCGTTTGCGAGGCAGGAGGTGCGGGACGCCGTGAATGTGGTGCAGAAGGATGTGGAGACGGTGCTGCGTCTGGCGATGAAGGTGTTGCGTGTGCTGGATGGCATCATCAAATGCATTCGTCGCGGTGATGCCAATTTCCTTTGGGCCGCAGAGTTGTGCCTTGGTTCTGCGGAAATGTTTGTTGCCGCCGTGTCGGCACGGCATGTCATTGATGTAGACCCTGTGGTTAAATTCTTCAACTCTGATATGGCGTGGCGTCTCAGCGGTATCGGTATTGTTTCGACGGAATGTTACTGCCAAGCGCTTTACCACCTCATATGTACAATCTTTGTTCGTCAAGAGAGCTTCGCTGGTGTTAGCCAGGTGGCGGTACAACTGCTCCTGCATCGGTTAGCCGATCGACCGCCCTTCGATTGGGAAACGTTCAAGCTGGTCTCAAGTCTTCCGAAGGTTCGAATGTCGGTGGGCCCGTTGACCCCGCAATGTGGCGTGCTAAACTATATGAGTCTCGTCCAGCGGTGCGTGGAGTCTCTGCTTCTGTGTGATGCACCATGGGTGAAGACGCTCAAGCGGGGGTGCAGTCATGCTCTCCGCGAAATGAACGAGCAAAAGAAAACGCTGTCCTTCTTTCAGGTGCCCATCCTGGGCGCGTTGCAGGGAATGCCCGAGGTGGACCTCTCCGACGACGGGCAACTGCGGCGCCGTGCCGCAGCGACGCACCTGAGCAACAATGAAAACATCCTGAACCCGAACTTTCTACGGATTCTGCTCTCGCACGGCTACACCATTCCACACGATAATCACAGTCCACTAAGCCGCGCCTCTCTGATGGCGCTTTTCCGCGCCATTACGGACGAGCTCCTGCAAATACCTCTTATCCGCTCTGGGGAGACGACGAAGTTGACGGACGCTCTTTTACGGCCGCCCATATTGACGGCGAGGCTTCTCCAGCTGGTTGTCGATGAAGCCTCGCAGGATGCCCAGACGGCCTCTGACGTGATGAAAGATTTGCATCACATAACGGAAGTTGTGTTTGATGCCAATGCTGCGCAGTACGCTAAACATCTCTCGGCGCGAACAATATCAAGGCAATTGCGCCGCGTCTCGACGTCAACGGTAGAGCTGCTTTTTACGTTCCTCGCCTCCGACGCTTTCCTAGCTAACGTTGATCGTCGTGTGGCACTAGAGTCCCTTGCGAAGGTATTCGCGGTGTGGGCCTTTTATATATCCGTCGAGAAAAACGTAACAGAAAAGGAGAGGAAGAAGATGCTACAGCTCATCGCGAGAATGGGCATGAGACTGATGGCATTGACGCAAATGATGACGGCACCTGAGATCAATGAGTTCTTCAAAACCGTTGTCCTTCCATGCAGTTCTTCAGAAGAGATGAAGCGCAAGAACCGCCTGCAGTACGCACTGCTTGAGGCGTACACGAAGGCCTACGCCTGTTCTGCCGTCGCGTTGGCGATGGAAGAAGACGTGATGCTGCGGCATTGGGTCGACACCGCACTGCGATGTATCCACAACGACCTCAGCGGCGCCCTTTCCGTCGCCGGTATGGACTTTTTAGCGGCGGCGTTCCTCTCGAGGCGGTCGATTGCGCCACTCTTCGTGCCGACGTACGTGACACTGCTGGTGCCGATCGCCAGCCCGTCGCGCTACGGTGAGCCGCCTCTCTTTCTGGTGCGCCGCTTCGCCAAGAGCGTACGGGCAGTGTGCCAGGCACTGGAGGAGTGTGACGAGGACGCTTTGTTGGCAAAGCTGCAGAGCCCTAACTCGTCCGTGAAGAAGTTCCTGGTGGAGATGTGCGGTGAGGGAAGGGCGGCTCCGCAGCTCGACAACGTCCGGCCGGTCAGCAGCGTCCTCCTCATTGTATCAGCGCTCTTTGAGAAGGTGTGCCGCCTTCTCGGCTATGCGGCGGCCACTACTTCCACGAAGGAACGGCTTGCTCGTTTCCAGGCGTACTTTTCGGCGCTCATCAACTTGCTGCGTTGCCGCACCAGCACTGTGCTGCATCGTGTGTGCGCCTCGGTGGAGGCGATCATATTGGAGCACTTGCATGGCGTGCCGAGCGCGCAGGCGCTGTGGATGAAGTACATTTCGACCACCGTCGATTCGCTGGATGGGAGCAGCAAGAAGGGGGTGGCGGAGTGGTTCCTTAAGCTGAGCGAAAAGGCGAACAAGACGGCTCCACAGGCCCGGCTCTAGTGCACAGGAGGAGAAGTGAAGCGAGTGAACAAAAAAGAAAGAGAGATGAGCGAAGAGGGGGGGGTGAGATACTTGTAATGGTGAAGTGATTTACTAAACTAACTTAGTGTGCCCTGAGGGAGCCCGCATCTGGAGCAAAAGACAGGGATAGAAACATCTACCGTCTGCGGGCCAGATCACATCTCTTAGTGGTGCATCACTGATCTGTGAGACACGCGCATTTCCTCTTTGATGAAAGCAAAGAAGTGTAGCCTTCAGTCTGTCGTGGTGTTTTTTTTTTGTTATTTCTGGTGTAGATATTTGTGGTTTTGTTTTATCTTTTGTAGTCTCTTTATCTGTTTTGTTTTGTTTCCATCTGGGTGCTGCGATGCAATAATAAACAAACNAAAAAAAAACGAAAACAGGTGAAGACGCGGATTGTCACCCTGCGGCAATGATAAGCAGGAGTGGTACTGTGCGCTCGTGGTGCAATGTTTCACAAGGCGTAACGAAGATCCTCGCAGCTGTGTGCGGAGACGTCTTTAGCAGCAGCCGTAATAATAATAATAATAATAATACTATTAACAACCACACAGCGGTTAGTGCCGGTGGAGAAGGTCATGCCGCCATGCGTCCAGGCACAGTGCCAAGCGCAGCGGTAGCTCACCTGCGGAACACCACAGCGGAAAAAAAGGAGCCTGTCTACCGCGCTGTCCCGTCCACCCGCGCTGGCCGCGCTGTCGGCTTTGCGTCCCTCTTCATGCAGCTGGGCTGGGACCACCTCGTAGGCACGCAACAGGGTGGCCTGTTGTCGAGTCACAGCCACGAGCGTATCGTTAACACGCTCTGTAGGATGCGTGGGGCGGTGCTGAAACTGGGACAGATGCTTAGCATCCAGGATGCCGCCACTGTACCGCCGCATATCACCCAGATATTTGAGCGAGTACGTGATAGTGCCTACGCCATGCCACGTGAGCAGCTCGACCGCACACTGGCGAAGGAGTACCACAACTCCAACTGGCGCAAGGAGTTATTCGTGCAGTTTGACGACGAGCCCATGGCTGCCGCCAGCATCGGGCAGGTGCACCGCGCCGTCCTGAAGGGAAAGGACGGCGCACAGGTGGAAGAGGCGGCAGCCGTCAAGGTGCAGTACCCCGGCGTGGCGCGCAGTATCGACTCGGACGTTTCAAATTTGAAGATGCTCATAACCCTTAACCTGCTCCCACCNAAGGTGCAGTACCCCGGCGTGGCGCGCAGTATCGACTCGGACGTTTCAAATTTGAAGATGCTCATAACCCTTAACCTGCTCCCACCTGGAATGTTTGTTGATAATATACTGCAGGAGCTCCGGGAGGAGCTTGCGTTAGAGTGTCGCTACTCGGTGGAGGCAGAGAAGCAGATGCGTTATGCCGTGCTCATCCAGCAGGACCCGCAGCTGCGTGAAACGTTTATCGTGCCGAAGGTGTACGAATCCCTTTCGACCGACAGCGTTTTAGTCACGGAGTTAATCACCGGTGTGCCAATTGACCGCTTGGCGACTGTGTCTGGAATGCAGGAGCTCAAGAACTACGTGGCCCAGCGCATGTTCCTATTGACACTCTCTGAGCTCTTCCGCTGGCACTTCATGCAAACGGATCCAAACTATTCCAACTTCCTCTTTGACGCCACGACGAATAAAATTGGTCTCCTCGACTTTGGTGCGGCACGCGAGTACAGCGCGGAGTTTGTGCAAGACTACATTGATGTGGTTGCCGCTGCCGCACGAGAAGATCGTGATACCATCATAGAAAAGAGCATTAAGCTAGGCTTTCTCACAGGACATGAGATGAAGGAGATGCTGGATGCGCATGTCCAGAGTGTGGTGCTGCTGGGCAAACCGTTCCGGTACCGCGACAAGCCTTTCGACTTCGCGGCGGAACACCTTCCCTCGCAGATACAGGCATACGTGCCCACAATGATCAAGTTGCGGCTGCGCCCGCCCCCTACGCCGGTGTACTCGTTGCACCGGCGGCTTAGTGGGACGATACTACTAGCGACCAAACTGAAAGCTACTGTCAATGTGGGGGATATTTTCTGGGATATTTATGACAATCCCAAGATGTAACTCCTGTTTTACCACCTGAATTCATGTTGTCACTGGATGTTGCGCTGTTCTCATGGCTCTTCATGCGTGTGTGAATTTTTTTTCTTTTGCTGTTTCGGTGGTGCGTATGATTTGCTCGGTATATTTCTTTATTTCTTTCCTTGTTCCTGTACACGTTTGTGGCTAAATAGGAGGAGTTAGATAGGGAGGGCGTAGAGGAGTCAACTGCAACCCTCCTCACCCGTCGTAAGAAGTGTAGAGAAACCTAATTAAGGAAAGCGTCTTCTTTCCTTCTATACGAGACTCACGAAGAAATTTTAGAAAGGAAAAACCGAGCACCTACTGAGATTTGTATTAACATAAACTACGAAAGAAGAACAGGAAGGGAGGGGAAAAAAGGAACGAAAAAAAAAAAGCAAGTGTGTCTTCTGCGTGCGTGCGTGTGTGTGTGTGTGTGTGTTTCAAAAATGCAACAACAGTTCAGCAGACAGGAACAGATGAATGTGGCGATCCAAAATTTGAAGCTGGAGATGAATGAACGCTTCGCGGAGCAGGAGAAGAGTATACGGCAGGTCTACGGCGAACTGAAGGAAGGTTTAGATAGAATTCAGCGAGCAGTTGTAGTGGGCAACAGCGTGGGCCCTGGATTGGGGAATTCGTCGAACTTCTTGGGAAACATGGACCACGTCACACCGGTCTTTACGCGCTACGTTGCCGACGGTCAAGGCACAACAGGGGTTGGACGTCTCGTGGTGCCTTCCACACCGCCGAACGGGCGGCTGCAATTGATGCCGACGGAATTGCGCAGCCACAGGGGCGACAGTGTACCGCAAGGCGAACGCGCCGATTGGGGCACACTGACAGCGTCTAGCCTGCATGAGGCCACGCCGGCGGTGTCACCGCAGAAGCAGTGGGCGAACGAGGAGCTGGCGCAGGACGAACAGAACCCGTCCGTAGACTACACCTGCTTCGAAACACTCGACAGGTTGGTAAATGAAGATGAAATGAATCAAGGCTCCATGGGACAGATGCTTTCCTTCTTGAACGATGATGAGGCGAAGCAGCAGCAACAGCAACAGAGTCTGATCTTATGCGGCGCGAAGCACGACATTCAGATCAATGCATTGGGGTCCGTACCAAACAAACACCTGACGACAAGTCTGCGTGTTGAGTACGTGAATGGGCGTCCAAAAGCAGTGCCTATATTGGACGGTGCCCCTGACGAACCAGAGAAGCTGGGCATCGACGTGCGCGCCCGGTGCAAGGTATTGGTGGAGTTCAAGCGTAAACGTGTGCTGCAATTCGAGTCAAAGGAATACGTTCCACCCGGCAGCTATGTGATGGTCGGCGGCGATCGCGGTGAGGACCTCGGGCTGGTAACATACACGTGGTGCGAGACGACGAGGCTCGCCAAAGCCGCTGACGGCGGCGATGCCAGCAACGGCAGCAAGCCCAGCGTGCTGGGCGTGTGTCTCTCCGGCAGTACCCACACGCGTAGCATTGGCCTTGGGATGGGAACGGTGGTGCGTTTAGCCGATGAGTCAGATGTCACGCAGCTGCATACGGTTCAGGTGGAGCTTGAGCGGCGCGCCATTGATGTCTGCTCGCAGCGGGTCCTCGAGCGTGGGTTACCCATGACCATCGTGGACGCCGAGTACCAGTTTGACAAGAAGAAACTCACGTTCTTCTACGAGGCGCAACAGCGCATGGACTTCCGCGAGCTCGTGCGGGACCTATACAAGACGTTTCGTGCAAGGATCTGGATGGAGGTGGTGGAAAACTAAGAGACATCACCAGGCTGTTTTTTTTTTTNTATACAAGACGTTTCGTGCAAGGATCTGGATGGAGGTGGTGGAAAACTAAGAGACATCACCAGGCTGTTTTTTTTTTTCGTGTGTGTGTGTGTGTGTGTTGGTGGTTTTTTTTTTGTGTTATCATTCTTGTTTGGGGCGTGTTTCATATCACATAGATGAAGATGCTGGGGTGATTGCGTCAGACATCACATCACAGAGTAAGATGCAGAGAAGCGCAAGAAAGATTTTTGTTTCACGAATACGATCGTCGCGGAGACGGCGAACTCTTCATCCTGGGAAATAACGTAGGGCAAGCACGAGTGGTAGAGTGAGGGGGTGGAGGGGGGAGGGAAAAAAACCCAAAGAAAAAGGAGGATGTTTCACAACACGTGTACAAATGTGCATAGATGTGTAAACTACCTCCATCATAACCAAAACAAAACAAAAAAGAGAAAAAAGGGGAAACGGTGCGGTAAGGTACGTTTTAGATGTGCAGTTGTTTCTCAATCTTGCTTCCACTCATTTGTTCTCTTTCATGTAATGCGGATATTGCTACTACTATGAATTTGTGAGAGTTCCTGGCTTTGGAATCTGTCAGGAATAGAACGACGAACTCAAAGAATGAGAAAAGGAGGAGGGTGTTAGTGAGAGAGAGAGAGAGAGCGAGAGGGAGGGGGACGGAGAACGAGGGGGGAAAGAGGGTCAGAGAGAGAGAAAGTGAAAGGAGAGAGGATCTTTACGTAAGGTTGTTGTTTTTTTGGTAGGGAATGACGGATAAAAAATGCCTTACTATCACTTTTTTTCAACCGGTGCACATCTTGATTTTCACGTCTCCTTGTTGTTGTTATTGTTTATATATATATA